TGTCTTCATTGGGCTGATGAATCTTTCCAGGGAGACATCAAGAGCTCAGGGTTGTTGAATGAGTGAGGTCCAATGGAGTGCTCCGTAATTATATAGAGGTTTGTAATTTTAAAGGCATGCCGGAACAGCTGATCCATATGCAAAGCAATTTGATATTAGCATCTTTATTGGCTACAGGTAGCTGAGTAGGCACTCAGAGGTTAAATGGTTTGCTGGGAGCCACCCAGTATGTGGTTAAGCCGGATTTAGAACACAGTTCTAATGAGCTCCTGATTGCCAGCTTTGTGCTGAGGCACAGTGCACTACACCCACACACCAAGGTTCACTTCGTCAGTAGAAGAAATACTTAATAGTTTGACCTGTCTGAATGTTATAAAATAAATGTTAATATTTATTTTTACTTTAAAATGAATAACACTCATTTTTATCTGAATGTTATTTGACTCTAGTAAGAGGCACTCAATTGCAGAAACACAACTTTAGGGCAACAGAACCCAAGGAAAAGATGAAATGCCGGAAAGAGTAAGGTTGGACAGTGGAGCCCAAAAGGATGAAAAAGCAGAGGTTGTGCAGGAGGGGAAGTGAGACCTTGCCCGTGGTCGGTAGCTCGGGACTCGGAGTAGGATCTGGAGAGACTGGCCGGTCATTTCAGTACTGTGTGGCAAACCTCAGGTGCTAGGAGAGCCTGAGCAACAGGAAAGGTTCCCCAAACTGCACAAAAGAGTGGAGTTAAACATCAGCATGGTGTTAATGAGGTGGCTAGGTCATGAAAATCTCTGAATGTCCTGCAAAGGAATAACAGCACGTTCATTCAGCACTGTTATCTATTTAGTGCCTCTGTGTACGTGTGCCAGGCACTGTTCTGTGTATGTATTCGGGATAGCTCAGTGACCAAAATGAGCATACATATCTGAACTCAGAGCTTCTATTTCAGTGTAGAGAAAAAAACACTAAACATTAAAGAAGTAAACAAATTAAGTGGTGTGGGGCTGGGGATATAGCTCAGTGGCATAAGCGCCTGCCTGGCAAGCACAAGATCATAAGTTCAATCCCCAGTACTGCCAAAAAAAAAAAATAATAATAATTAAATGGTATTAGATTTAGAATTATAGTGGTATTAGATTTAGAAGGAGGGAAAAGGATACCTCAAGCCAGGTGACCAAGCTTAACACTAGCATTAGCTGAGCCATGTTGGTAGTTTGTACCCATGACATGACATGAGAATGGCTCTTCATACCTGGGGTCTTTCTCCCCAGAACATGCAGCTCTGGTCTACTGCAGAGGAAAACACCAAATAATTCCTACAAGAGAGACATTCTATAAAATACCTGACTAGTACTCCTCAACCTGTTAAGAGCATCAAAAAGAAACAAAACCAGAGATGCTATCACAGCCAAGAGAAGCTAAAGAGGCAGGATTACTAAATGTTATGTGATATCCCATAGCATTGCAGAAAAGAGACAGTAGGGAAAAAATAAGGAAATCTGAATAAAGCGTGGCTTTAGTTAATAATAATGTATCAGTATTGGTTCTTTTATTGTTATAAATGTGCCATACAAATGTAAGATGCTCTAAAGCAGAAATTGTGTGTAAAACATACTATATTTGTAATGATTCTGAAGATCTGAAACTAAAATGAAAAGTTTATTTGAAAAAAAAAAAAAAAGGAGTAAGTCCATGGTGGAAACACACATTGCAGTTTTAGTGAGGTCAGGGTACGTCGCAGTGAGAAAGGCTCAAGAACAGTCGCGTAGAGCAGAAGTCGGCCGTGTGGGAACTACCAGAGGAAAGCCTGAAGGTGAGAATGAATAGGTCTGCTCGTTTGGCACCAGTGTGATGGTGCCCACAGACGCCTTACTCTTTTTGGCCTCAGCCTCAGTGTCCTCTTCTGTGAAAGGTTGGGGTGAAAAGATGATTTCAAAGGTTGCTTCTTTGTTTGACATTCTATGATTTATTTTTAATTTTGTTTGTTTTTTGAGGCAGGGTCTCGATATGTAGTTCAGGTTGACCTTGAGCTCACTATGTAGTCCAGGCTGGCCTTGACTTTGCTGTGATCCTCCTCCTCAGCCTCCCAAGTGGTGGGACTACAGGCGTGCACCACCACACTTGGCCCTTCTCTGGTTTTAGACCATGTGGGATAGAAGCGTTGTACAAACCAGCAGTGCTAGCCATCAGTGACTGTGTGCTTTTAACCAGCCTACAAATGCTCTAGCAGCAAATACAAAAAGTATACTCCTAAATATTTTGATTAAAAAAGGAAAGAACCACTTTGTAGGTACTTACCCTCTCTCTAGCATGGTTTAAAGTCAGAATTTGAAACAGTAGGTAAGAAGACGAATAGTTATCATCTTAGAAGATTAATTTAACTCTTTGTACTTTGATGCCGCTTCCATAAAATGGTGTGTGTGGGGTGTGATAGTAGGGAACCCAGAGCCTCAGGTATGCCTAGGCAAGTACTCTACCACAAAACTACTCTCCAGCTCTTTCTGTTTTCTTTTAAGTCAGGGTCTGCTGCACTGCCCAAGTTAGCCTTGAGTTTATAATCTTCCTGCCTCAGCCTCCTAAGTGGCTAGGATTATGGTGTGTACCACCATGCCCAGCCTATGATGGGAACCTTATACTTTGCTAGTGTTTGTTTGAATTTTCAGAAAAGAAAGAACTAAAAGTTCTAAGATTTACTATGTATTTCTTTTTGTTAATCTTTGGTACAGATGCAATTGAAAAAGTGAAACCTTGTTACACAATTCAAGAGACTGAAGACCTAACTTTTTTTATTTTTATTTTTTTTGGTGAGGGGGGTGGGGAGCTTTTTGACACAAGGTCTCACCATGCAGTTCAGGCTGGCCTTGAGCTCACTCTGTAGCCCAGGCTGGTCTTGAACATGCAATAATCCTCCTACCTCAGCCTCCCAAGTGCTGGGATTACAGGCATGCGCCACCATGCCTGGCTGAAAGCCTAACTTCAGATTTGGGGAGTGGGGAAGAGCAACACTATATGCAGCTAATTTTATGAAGCAGTAACATAATATCAAAATATATAATAATAGACAAATTTGTAATTACCACTTTACAAGGGAAGAGGCCAACCAGTTTCTTGAACCACATACCCTTGTTACATCTAAAATGAAGGTCTGTATGTACTACTTTAATTCACACCCATTAAGCAGTGTTAATTGATGCTGTTAATTTAAATGTAATTGTTTAATGACCTAAGTGCTAAAAATTAATTAGTTACCTCAAACTTTTGAAGCTTTTGAAAAGAAAGTATGTCTGTTTTCTTTTTGAAAAGAAAGCATTGCCTTTGCAGCAAGGTATAATGATGCTATTAATTGTGTAATTTTACTTACTTAAAAGTTGTGAAGGAAAAAAATACTTTTTAAAAACAAAATTATTTTAAAGAGAAGAAAAAACAACAAAGTTTTGTTTTGTTTTGTACCAGGAATTGAACTCAGGACCTTGTGCTTGCCAGGCAGGCGATTGTGCTGCTGAGCTGTATCCCCAGCCCAACAACAAAATTCTAAAATAATAAGATAGGAGGGTAACAGTACTTTGCATGTTGTTATCTTTAATTTACTTATTCAGAGTACAAGATATCAGCATTTAATTGTCCAAGCAATATTAGCACAAACCTTTTTTTTTTTGGTATCAGGAATTGAACTCAGGACCTTGTGCTTGCCAGGCAGGCACTTGTACTGCTGAGCTATATCCCTGACCCTATCTCTTTAATGAACTAAGAGAAATTAGTAATATAACTATCTTAACTATTATATATATATATATATATATATATGTGCACACACACACACACTCTCTTTTCTTTTGAATTTTCTTCCCATTTTACAATATCTGTTGTACATTTTGGATCTTATTTACTCTTTTAGCATCTCACAGTAGGGAGACAATGCAATGTGTACACATTTGTGTCTGATTTATTTCACTTACGAGTATGGTCTCGGGTTGCATGCATTTGCCTATAAAAAGTCTCCAGTTTATCCTTCTTTATGGCTGAGTAGTACTCCATGATATAAAAAGACCACATTAAAAAAAATACCTTTGCCTAGCTGGTTTTTTTTGTTGTTGTTGTTTCTTTTTAGCTAGAGATACACAGGTATATGTGACTGTTAGGCACTTGAAATGTGGCTTGTATGACCAGGGAACTTTGATTTTACTAAATTGAAATTTAAATAGCCATAGATGGGCAGTGTCTAATGTGTTAAACTGCTAACTGTCAAGGTTGGTCATAATTTGGCCTAACCTTGGAGAGCTAGCATTTATTTCCCAGAAAAAGTATATCCAGGCAGAACTGTAAGGTTTAGGACTTAAGGTCTGAAAAAAAGGAAGGGATGAACTATAGTGTGCAACTCAGGCCCTTAGACATACCCTACAATAAACCTGTACTTTGAGGCCAAATCTGCATGTCTTGAGTTTGGAGCCTGAAGCTTCCCAAGAAGACTGGAAGAATTTTGAAGTCTGGAGTTATCTTTAGGCATCATGTCATCCAACCCAAGGAAGTGTAAGCACAGTAACATGTAGTGTTTTAGGGCCCCTTCTCTGCTTCCTCCTTGTTCCTTTAGTTAAGCCAAACAGATCATCAGTGCTTTCAAGGTTTGTAAAGGGACTCAGGCATTTATGCCTTCCAGACTGATTATGATGTAGGACTAGCCACAGAATCCCTTGTCTCTTTTCCATACTATTTTAGGTCAACATATCAGAGTTGTTCACGGCAGTCTTTTCATAGCTGCTCTCAAAGGCTCTCTGTGTGAATAAAAGCTATTGACCTTATTTCCCTTGTCAAGAGCTCTGCCGAGCTCAGTGTAAGTTCTCATACTCAGCAGGCAGTGGGGTGTGCTCCTGACAGTGACACTTCTGTACATGTGTTGTCTCCCTTTGTGCCTGAGTGCTGTTGAAGAGGTGTAAAGATGAGATGGTAACTGGGAAGATTTGTGTACTGTAGAACACAATGAACCATGTGCCAATGTTGTCCTGTTTATTGTCTTCCAGGAAATTGAGGACTGATATGGTCTCGGTTTGAGAAGAACTACCCTGCTGTTTTCACACAAATCACATTGAAGAATAAGCTCAAAGGAACATTTGTTTCTTCATGGTTCTGTTCCTAGCAAATATTTTCAATGCCCAGGAAAACATCAACCACTCTTACGTTTGACCTGCACTAGGCAGCCCAACGAAGGTTCCTTCCAGCTCTTTCCATAGCTATATTGCAGAAGCAACTGTCTTTGTTGGGTGAATGTTCGTGAAGGCCTTCCCTGGACCAGCTTGAGAGGCATAAGCCTCTTGGAACTTATGACATGGAAGCTTTGGAAGTGGATGATATTAGCCCAGCCTTAGAGGTCACTGAGGATTTCTTTAGTACTTTTGATAGTAAGCTAGAAAAGGCTGTGCAGCAGGCAGAGGTTTATGGGATTCAGGAAGTCCCTGAACTGGTGGGTCATGAAGTACTTGGTAACATAACAGACAATGGTGCTATGAGAAACGTTCCCTCCCTGGGCAAGGGGGGCATGATTTGGGAGCACTGTAAGAGCAGACTCTTAGAAACCAAAGCTCAAAATGTCTTTCCTGCCAAAGAACAGTGTATGGTCCAGAGAGGGACAACCCCAGATAATCTATCCTGGATGGAACAAAAGGAAGCATCGACTTTTAATTTTTTCAATATCTGTCAGCGTCGGAGGGACAGACCTCGTTCTGTGAATGACTTACTGGATGAGACCTCTACTTTCAAGCCAGGGCATGCTCGGTCAAGGTCAGATGTTACCCAGGCAGACTGGCAAGTCGTCCTCAAAACCATGCCTTTGCAGCAGCAGCAGCAGCGGCAGCAGCCATCTCTTCAAGGCCCTCACATCACCAGGCCCTCTTTCCTGTTGCCCTCACCGAGTAAGGTAGAAGATGCTCAAGGAAATACTGGTATGTTTTCATTTTTATCTGAACTCTATTGAATACTTGTCGATTTGTCACATCTCTCTTGTCAACTTCAGGAGAATGTGACTTTCCAATATCTGTATCTGGCTTTGCTTCCTTAAACTCCTCCTGTTTCCTTCAGCACTTTACCTTGCCTCCAGTGAACAGTCTTGTTCCCTCAAGAGATATTTAGTGAGAAGACAACCATGCTTAATTCTCTCTTTCTTCACATTTAATGTATTTTCCTTTGAGCATTGTGTGATACTGCTTATTCACATCCATAGATTTTATTGGATCATACGTTGGGTTTAGCTTTGTGTTCTGCTAGATTTCGTGATATGTGAAGACACGATCCCTGCCCTATAGTACTTTCTCATCTAGTCAAAGGGATTGGGCCCTAATGAAGACTCAGGAAGGTTTGAGAGGGAGCTGCTGTTTAACTTTGTATACAAGTGAGTGGCAATGGCTATAAGATCGCAGAGGAAAGAGAAGACACTGTAGGCTGGACTGGTTAGGAAGGACCTGTAAGGGGGTGTGGAATTTGAGCTGGACCTTGAAGGACACAGCAATTCGGAAGACAAAGATGACAGGACATGGTGTGAACAAAGGTGAGATGGGGCTGGGGCGTAGCTCCGTGGTAGAACATTTGCCTTGCTTGGATGTGGCCCAGGAGCTCCATCCTTAGCACCAAGGGGAGAGAAGTAGGGGTGAGGAGATGGGAGTGCAGAGGACAGCAAGCAGACCCCTGTGAGTAGAGCTGAAAATCCCATGGCAAGCGGAGGTGGAAATAGAGAAGATGGTTAGGACCTCATGGTGCAGTGGTGGTGAACCTTTTCGAGCTTTCAGTGATAACAAACAGCCCGCTGCAGCACACGTGCCATAGATTCACCACCACTGGAGGGCTTTGATTTTCATTTTTTCTTGTATATTATGCATGTACTAATACACATGTATATGTAAAACTTTATTCACCCGTCAAGTTTTTCTTTAGACATAAACATCTCTCTTTCTCCACCTTTTTCCTTCAAAATAACCTCATTTATCAGCTTTTACTACTGATTCTTCAGTCACCCCTGCTAAGCCCTTAACTTAGAAGGCTTCAACTCAGTTAACTGGTATTTTTTGGTGTGCCTTATTGCTGTATTAGAGTTTCTCACACTTTCATTTTTACTGTTGCTTGTAAGTCCATTGACACATTTAGCATTTTAATAAATATAATTAGTTTGTAAGTGTAACCCAAAGCAATAATATAGTTTAGTAGGAATATTAAGGAATTGCAGTGTATTTTCACATACAATTAAAATTTTTCCTTTAGCAAATTCTTTTTGTCCTCCATTTTAAATTTGTAGCTTGTAATTTCTAGTCTTCTGTCATAGGTGTGCACCGTTTTCTGTGACATCTAGCTAATGGTGGTGACCATGGGAGTAAAAGGACAAGGACATCATGGAGCAAGGACGTGGTGACTGATTAGATATCAGGAGCAAACAAGTTGCTGTAACTCCTGTTTCTGGCAGAATCATGGCTTTACTTTTGAGTCCATGTACCAATAGGCACACGCTTTGATTAGGAAATAACCTCTGTAGTGTATTTTATTGTTTTGTTTCTAGAATTCATATAGAGTTTTATCATTAAAGCACCTTAACCATTCTAAATCCCTGGTATAACTCAAAGGAGAATGTCATATTTTAACTTTTTTTTTGTATCTTGTTCGGATTGAAAAATTCAAGAACTACACCTTAACTTCATCAACTTTTCCCTTGAGTTTAGAAAAACCACAATCATTCTTTTGTAATTCTCAATTTAAAAATAAATTTAATACTAATTTATGTTGAAATATAAAGTGAGTGGTATTTTTTTAAATTTTTGTTTCCTTGTTTGCTTGTTTTTTGAGACAGAGTCTTGCTATGTAGTTCAGGCTTGCCGTGAACTCACTGTGGAGCCCAAGCTGGCCTGGAACTTGTGGCAGTCCTCCTGCCTCAGCCTCTCGGGAGCTGGGATTACAGGCATGTACCACCAAAATACCAGTGGTATTTTGAAAAGTAAACTGTAACAAATGGACTTTTCAGGAATTGATGTACTATATCTTGGTAACCTTTGCTCATGCATGAGCTATATATCCTAACAGGAATTAGGAAAATTGGGTAAAGGGCGTGCCAAGTTTCTGACACCTTTATTTTTTGGTATGCACTGATGAAGAGGCAAAAATAAGTCATGTTTTTATTGCTCAACTGGTAAAGGGCAGGACAAGCAATGGCCACTGCTCTTGGGCTGGGAGTAGAGAGAAAGTACAGATTTATGGCTGATTGCTAACTCACAAAGATTTGAAGAGATATGTGTGCATTCTGGTCAAAATCAGCCAAGATCTTTGAATAGATGTACTTCAAAACCTTCAAAATTAGGCATCTAAACTGAAAAAGGTCTGATTGTTTCTTCCGTGAAATATACCAGAGGAAGAGGTATCTCAGCTAGAGCTGGAGATGAGGCCTCAGCAGATTTGGGGTCAGAGCTTAGACACATATACCCGAGCACTTGGTAGATGTCTCTGCTGGAATGTTTCGTAGGCACTTCAATTCAGACTATCCCGAGATGATCCATAATTCTCCCATCTCTTCCTCTTACTGTTCTTACAGCCTCCTCAGAAGAAATAAAATTTAGTTAAATGCATTTATTTTGAAGAGGTCAACTTGGTTTTGTGCCTAGCTCTGTCACTCTCTTCCTCATGCGCTTTTTACTACACGGTCTTATATTTTCTTCCCTTGACAAGGATTGTTTCCTGAATTAACAGGAACAGCACAGAGCGGGTCACAGTTCTTTAGGAAACCAACGAATCCGTAAAAGGGAGATAGTAACTTTACCTGTCACCCCCTTGAATGTCGGCCACACAGAAATCTCAGTGAGCCAACTCCAAGGGTTTGGGAGAACAGAATGAAGGCTTTGGGGTTTGCCTCATTTTTTGGTTGTTTTACTTAGAAACTTGTAGCTGAGTGTGGTGGTGCAAACATGTAATCTCAGCACTCTGGGAGACTGAGGCCAGAAGCCCAAAGGTTCCAGCCCATTTTGGGCAACTTAGCAACTTCGTGAGACCCTGTCTTAAAAAATTAAAAAAGACTGGAGATGTAGCTCAATGTGAAGACCCTGGATTCAATCGCTAGTGTTCAGACACAGGTGGCCCCAGGCCAACTCCTTAAGAACACGCGTTGCCTGTGCTAGTGGGTGAAGGATGCTGCCAGGTGGTCTTAGTAGACCAACAGGGTGTGGCTTGAATCCAACCTAATTAGTACCATCTGCATGTTTTGAGGATAATTGGGTAGTAATGTCCAAAGGTTAGGCCAGACAATGATGGGAGGGGATAGGTCTCAGACAAGGTGGCAGCAGAGATCATTATTTCTAAAGAACCTCAATGTAGTTGGTGGAGACCCAAATGTCCTCAGGGTCTGCTCCTTTCCTTACTGCTATCCCAGCATTTGCCATCCCTGGGAAGCTCGGTGACTGGGAGCTAGCCCTGTGGGGGGAATGGCTGATTTCTGGCCGTAGCACTAATAATGTTAGTTCTATAAAGACATTTTCTTGACGTATTTATACTTGACCTTCCTGCTCTCTGTAACAATGTTGTGCTGCTGTTGTTCACTGCCTAATGATACATAGACATCTGGGAATTCTTTGGAGGATAAAGAAGGCAGAGTCCTAACACTGGAATTACAATCCAAATATTAATATATCTTAAGGAAAAAAATCAAAGTCCTATGACTACATGGGTGTTAGATATTGCTCGTAAATGTATGTGTGAGCGAGAAGATATAGACACATACATGAATACATGCTTACACTTATAAATAAAGACACACTTGGCAGAGGAAAGTAAGGCTATATGTAAAGAGTATTTAACTAGGATTCAGAAGTGTCTTAAGCTATTGGCACACTGACATACACCTGTAATGCCAGCTACGGAGGAGGCTAAGGTAGGAACATTGAAAGTTTGATGCCACACTAGGCAAGTTAGTGAGACCCTGTCTCAAAATGTAAAGGACTTGGAATGTAGCTCAGTGGCAGACTGCTTGCCTAGCATGTGTGAGGCCTTGGATTTGATTCCTGTTACTACCAGGAAAAAAAATGAAAGGAAAGAAAAATCTTATCCCAACTTTACTTCTAATTTACGCATAGGTTTGAAAGAAATCACCTATTTATTGCCTTTTGTTTGTAAATGTGAATTATCTTTCCCTCCCTCCCCAGCTCTAAAATCATACCATTCGAGGATGTATTTGAACTGACCCTGACTCATGGTTCTGTGGGTGCTAATTACTATAGTCAGATCAATAAGGAAAGGTCACTATGGAACTGTAGGTATTGTTAAAATTATTTTAACACTGAAAGACTGTGTGCCTTGTCACTCTACTTTTGTATGAACTGCAGTGGCAGTTTTTAAAATCAAAATTTGTAAAAGAAATCTTTTGGATTAACTATAGATTTCTGAAACTCAATAAACTGCCACAATCTTACTTTTCTCCCTCTTACTGTGTTCACATTTTTATCTGCTTGGCAAGGGCAGTGGTCAGCTGGGCTTTTGTGTCTATTGGTTTTACTCTCTGGTGACCTGACAGTGCTCCTGTGCTGTGTCTTCTTGTTCTAAGTACTTTAGGAGATGGTCTCAAGCAGAGATTTTCTGCAGGGTTAGAAAAACGGTGACAGTATAGTTTCTTTATTCTGGGTTTTATGTTGCTCTGTTTCGCTTCCTTTTTTTCCCATCTTTGACTTAAAAAAAAAATTGGGGGCTTATACTAAAATGACTGGATTTCCCAGTATGATGTTTCTCAAAGGCCTTGCAATCAGTAGAGGTGGGAATAGTCCTTACAGCTTAGAATAAGTGAGGTCACCAGGATGTGACCTCTTGCTAAATTCATGATTCACTCTCTGATGGGATTAGTTGGTACAAAGAAATTGCTAAAATAGGTCACAGAAAGTTGATTTTCTGTGGTCATATAGTTTCCATTGGTTACATTACCAAACGT